GTTTATTATCAGGAGTTGAAAAAAACAAGTACAGTATGGGCATGCAATCATGTACCTTTTATATTTATAAACGCTGACATAATTCGGCTTGATAATTTTAAAATTCAGTAGAAAATCACGCATCAACACATATCACGCGATGATGTAAATCTCGCCAAATATCTTGTTCACTACCTTTACAAAGTACACCATAGCATGCAATAGTTTTAGTGGCATTTAAAAAGCAATCTCTTTGCAGCTGTACATGTTATTAACACCGAGTCAATTTAGAAAGCCACTTTCACTTCAACAAGTGCAATGGGTGAGCCTGCAAGAAAAGGTGTACGATCATGTACATGTAAATAAACTCTGCTAGCTAGTCTTTCAAAGAAATTCCTAAGAAGCGACCACGTGTATTCATAACCTGAACACTGATGAAAATGGGTCACGGGTACGAAATTTGGCCGTACCAATAATTTGACTGCAGTGAAACAAATACAAATAGATAATTTCTTTTCAATATTGTGTCACTTTCTCGTCATCGAACTAGTTATGTCAGTCTATAAGTGCCATGATTCTCGCTCTAAAGAAACTTGACATCTGAATTGACCCTAAAAAACCCAAGGGTCTGCAACACAATTTTAGATTTTGTGGTATTAGCCAATTTAAAAGTTTATATACAGTGTGTATAAAAAATATTCAAATCCAACTTTGACAAGCTGCTGTGTATAAAATACTAAAGTAAACGATATAGTTTTTATATGGATTTTAGTAGGATATGACACCGAGTGGCAGCCTGCCATAGCAAGCAGAAAATTCTACTTGACCACGGCAGGATTTGAACCCGCGGCCTTCGGTATACTAGTTTTTATATGGCAACAAAGATTAGCTTATTTAGTTTACGATTAACCGTTCTATATCGACACGACCAAAACTGGCCGAGTTATCGTCTTTTAAAAAATGTTGCTCGAAATCAATTTTTTTCCGCCGATGGGAATTCGAAATTAGACCTCCATGCAGACAAAAGAAAATGCAAATTTAATTATGGAGGCATTGTGTTCTTCAAACTTCTATCGTTGAACATTGAATAAGCAGAATTTTTGCGATAAATTTGCATTGTAGTTTTCAGTAGTGATTAGATTTTAAAGCCCTTTAATTGGGACTAATTTTCAATAAAACAAACGTCCAGTTCCCATCGGCGGAAAATGGTGATTTTTATGAACTTTTTTGTCGAACCAGTACTTCTTCATTTTTCAACTAAATTACACGTACAACGTGTCATTTGAAAAAGAAATAAATGAACTTAACAATGGTGTAAAAATCGTGAAAATACGCTTTAAGATAATTATTCTGTATTCGGAATTCAATGACTGTGCCGTTATCATTCCAAAACCAGCAAGAGACTTACAAATACAATATTAATTGTTTTCCAGGAATAACATTTGGAAACCTAAATATACCTGCTCAATGAAAGTGAAACTGATCTCTACTGATCTAAATTATTTTATATCATGGGCGGTGAAACTACACGGATTTTGGGGGGAGGCCATTTATTCACATACACTGTTCTGCGCGATGGATTTTTTTTGACCCATTGACTTCGTTCATTTTCGCGCTTGTATACCATGAAATATCTACAAACACTGATAAGTACAGATTGCAGTCACGTAGCAATGCGGCCTGACAATTTAGTCCTGCTATACTAATATTTTAGTGCATCTTGATTATGAAAACAAATAATTTCTGCAGAAATGAATAATGATTATTTGTTCATCAAGGAATAAGACGCTGACACTTTGTATGCAAGATCAAATCCACTCCAATAAAACTCTACTCCACAAATCCAATAAAAAATTATCCTGTCCAGTTGTAGAACCAAAATACCAAAATAATACCAAAAAAAAATTTTGTACCAAAATAATAGTACGAGTTATGTTTGAAATATTCATCAAAATTAAAAAAGCGGGATGGGAGAGTTTAATTTTCCCAAATTTGAAACATCACGAGTACTATTCTAATAACCGCTAATTGTACCAGCAACACTACATTATTGCATGGCAAGGCCGTGCGCAGGATGTTTAAACAATAATTCATTTTGACTGCTCTGCGTCGATTGATTCCAAATTTATCTTCCAGAATTTAATTTACATACTTCTGAAAACTCAAAATTCGCGTCCCGTTGTCGCTTCGCGTCCGGTCTGTGTCCACCTTAATAAGTAAATAAACACGGCGGAGTATATCGGCTAAATGCACATCAAAAACTGTAATCACCATCCTTAAGTCTCACCAAACAAAGAAGAAACATTATACAATTAAAAACTAAGTAATATTATTAGAAAACTACTGCAGAAAATGACTACTTTTTTATTGTTGTCTTTAATTTTGTAATAAAAGAAAATAATGTAATAAAAAACGAACTACAAAGCATGCGTTGATACGTACTACATAGAATATAGTAATTATATTTGCTAACTTAGTCAGTAATTTAGGGTCCAATATTCATAATTTACGGTAATTCTATGTCGTTAGTAATTGAAGGCCTTAACTTTTTAAGCCCAAAAATTGTCTTGAATTTTCCAATTGGAAGCTTGCAGGTCCTAACAATTGTTTCCACTTATACTATGTTACTATTTGCTGTAATCATCTTCCTGGCAACATCTCGCAGTATATGACAATATTAGAAGATAAAAAGGTCTTAGAATGCGAGACGAATATAGAGGCTGAAAATAAACAATGGCTCAATTTCAAAAACTTTTGACGAAACAGTAATACAGGCACATGCAGATAATTTTTTCATGGTTAAATGTATTTTATGAAACAAATGAAAAAAAAACACTTTATTATTAGAAACAAAATGTGCATGGTTACATCTTCTCAATTCTAAAACCCTTCATCTTCGATTAATACTTTGAAAAATTAAAATTTAAGTTTAACTGATTTTCTGTGAACATTACGACCAACATTCTTCAACCACTTTGTGGACTGGCATAATTCTTTTCGCACTTCCTTGCTTATGTGATGTCTCTCCTCGTACAACGCTACTGAACGGCATATCTGTACGCACATGGTCGCTATAACGGTCCGTTAATGAAATTGTTTGAACACGATCCACGCAGTATATAGATGAAACAAAAGCCTTTCATATCCATATCCGCTTCCTTTCCTTAAATACACTTGGCCAGTTATGATCACGATTTGTACATAATTTCGAGGCACCAGTAAAAGTGATTTATTTAAACCACAAGATCAATAACCACTTGCTTGGTGTGCATGATTATAAATAAGGAAACAACAAATACACATATGGGTATAATTATATCGTTTAGTCGACTGAAGCACTGTCACAATACCCAACCCTTCATCTGTCCAATACTTTAACACTGGTAACATATTTCAATTTTATTGCTTTCCTTTTCTAGTTCAGTGAGTAGCATGATCTCGGTATACCATATGATGAGTTGAAAGTGTATTCCTTTTCTCAATGTAAAATAATTGCTCTTGCAGTCTTGCCGATTTCTAACTTTCGTATGTGAAGCAATTATTGTTTCAATATTGTTTCAATTATTGTTTCAGTTGCCCGATTTTTGTTACGCCGATGAAATAACTGTGAAGACGTTTGTCAACAATTGTCAAAACAAATGTCATTAGTGTTCTACTGGGTCGTAGAAGGTAGATCGGTTTGATTGATGTTATCTTTTTTTTTTTAAACAGAAGGCAAAATATTGAACTATTTCATATGTTTTTAACGATGTTTTCGGCGTTGCAAGTTCAAAGTCCTTATCACTGAACAACGCTTTGAAGATCCTCACATATTTTACATCCTTCTTCATTGCGGACACACATCAATACAATGCGCGTGATGTCGGTCCACTAGGTTTTAGAATGTTGGCTAAAGTTTATGTTATTTCTTATCTATAAATAAGTATCAAAGTTATATCTGAAAGCGTTTGATGCTTACAACGTTGTAAGAAAATGAAACTCTCCTCTTTCTTTATGAAAGTTTAAGCATACTTTGAGAACCTCATTTATTAATGGTAGGTAGGTACATTTAGTATAAATATAACTCTGATTCGAATAACAGAAAATTACAGAACAAAAATCAATTAATCAATAATTTTGACTTTTTTACTAAACTAAGTTTGCTTAAAATTTCTTAACATTAGAAGCTGCCGCATATAAATTAAATATTTCTCTTATCTTAAAGAAAAAATCTGGAATTCCGCAAACTTATAATATTGAAGGTCAACTTTTCCACATATAATTTGCTACAGGCACTTTATTTTCTAGATGCCCATACAAGCACCAAAATATATCTCGGAAACGCTGAGCAGGACGGTGTTAGCCTGCATTTGTTTTTCTAAGTAATTTTTTTTTTTGCTATGTTGCGCATGCCTGAAACAAGTGTACATTTATTTCTGGGAGCAAGTTCAAATGCTTGCACAAAAAGTTTAATCTGCAAAGTCAAATAAAGTGCTGCTTTTATCAGTGAAAATTTCATACAGGCAGCCACCCCCCTTTTTTCAAAATATAACTATTGGATGTGAACCGATGACGAGTGGAGAAAAATAATAGAATATCTGCTTGCTATAGCGTATTGTTTTAACACTGAAATGATATCCTACATATAATTTTACTTGCATATTGGAAATTAAAGAGAAGTAAGCAGGTTAATGTTCTAATCCTGACTGGCCCGATACCTCAATAACGAAGGGATGAAACCCTGGTTCATGCAATTTGAAAGAAAATGCTATTCCCCTTCTTGGGACCAGCGTATGCAAATAATGGGAATAGGGAATAAGTATGCAAATAATGGGGATAGGGAATTCTTAAATCACATTTGAATTGAAATTGATATATACTTACGGCTTGGCGATAACTGCAAAACTGCATACCAATCGTACTTCGTCCAATGCACTATCACACTTTGAAGAGAGGAAATGTCTACTTATATTGATTTAAAAAACTGAATATTTCAAATCCGATACTGGCTACACAAAGCTATATAATTATACTTACAAACCTTAGGGTAATACAACAAAACCAGAGAACATGTCACGTGATTTATCTCTGATATTTTCGATGTCATGTTTCTGAAAAACCACGTCCTCCCCGTAGATGGTAAATGGGGCCCAGATTTTGTAAGACCGGTATGCCTGGATTTGGTGTTTTTGGAAGAGATTCTTTGTCTTTCTTAGTGCTTCACAAACCGATGTTCCCTGGCACAACTCACCATAAAATACTTCCATAAACTCTTTCGTGGCATCATCACTAATGGGCCATAGTGTGGCGAGAACAGTGCGAGCCCCGGCTGCAATAAATGCCCGAGCAATACCTATGACACCTTCGGAAGAAATCTCACCTTGCCCGGTATGGCAACAGCATAAAACTACCAAGCTAGCTAGCAAAGAAGTATTTACAATATCCTTCTGTGAGAGAAGGTAGTCGTCTGGATAAGGAAGAGTCGAAAATGGCCGAGTCGAAGAAACGTTAGGGGAAAGCATTATTTCACCTCGAAGTTGTTCACCGTGAGCAGCGATATGGATTATGCTAGCCCCAGATAAAAGATCCAGTACAACCTGTTTTCTAGCTTCACGCCCCACTAAGGGTCTAGCATTGAAGAGCTTTGAAAGACATTCAACTTCTCTAGCAGCATTTGGTAGGGCAGGGGGTGAAAATTCTTTTCCATTTAAGGAAACCGTTCCAACGGTTGGATTACCAACAAACAACGCAAAACCAAGGCCCAGATCTTGAGAGCGTTCAATGCTAAACCTTAGAGTGTGTAATGATGGCGTAACTTGAATGCTGTAATTGTGGGATAAGTGACAACCATTTTCATCAATCAATGACGAAAATGGGACAAAAAACAATTGCTTGTCAGCAACAACTATAAGTTTATTGCCTTTAATCACATCGCTTACAGGGTCAATAAGTAGTTTAAACAATGTTTTCAAAATACCGTCTTGGTTTAAATCATCATGCCCAACAGAAGGTTTCTGATAAAGATTTTTGGACGGAGATTTTTCTTTAAAAACGTCCAAAGGAAGAATCGATTTTTCATCAATACTGGGCACTGAATTAAGTTCGAAAAACGAGGAATCCCGATTAACATTCACATTCACCATTCTGAACAATTCACTTATCAGTTGCACAAATTTTTCCAATCGTGCCTCTGATTTTGACACTCTATATCTAAAGATTACTTCTTTATTCAACACCCAAACATTTAGAAAACCTGGCCAATCAAAAGCGAATACTATAATGGAACTATCGTTGCTGCTTACCTGGAGGATGCTTTGTAAATCTTCGATTTCTACCTGTTCTTCACCATTCTTGATTCTATTCCATCCCGAACTTGCATAATCGAACATTTTTGTATTCAAAGATTTATTTTTTCTTTCAATGGAGCAATGAAGTTCTTTAGCCCTTCCAAGGTCAATGACTAATAATGCAGATTCAATGCGACCCACAGAAATAAAACAAATCATGATCTTTACATGGGTGGTAAAGTATTGTTTAGTGAATGACAACTTATTTTGGTCTGGTACTGAGTTTAAAAACATTTTGTCAAGGATGCTGATAGATTCCATGAAACATGATATTGCACCTTTATATTGTCCTAATAATACAAGTACAAATCCCAAATTGCTTTTACTAATTGCTAAGAGTGACGGATCATTAATATCAATGCTTATTTCTAAAGCTTTCTTGTAATAGTCAATGGCTTTCTCATATTCTCCTAATCCAAGGTAGGCACTGCCCAAATTTAATTTCTGAGTGGCTATTGCAGATTTATCGCCCATACCAGTACTAATTTCTAATCCCTTTCTGAAACAGTCAATAGCTTTCTCGTATTCTTCAAAGCTGTGGTAAGCACTGCCCAAATGACAATAGCTCTTTGCTATTGCGGACTTATTGCCAATGGCAGTACTCATTTCTAAACTTTTTTTGGAATAATGAATAGATTTTTCATATTGTCCTAAACATCTAAAAACAACGCTCATATAACAATTGACCTATGCTATTTGATACTTATCGCCAATAGCGGTACTAATTTCTAAACACTTTTTTTGACAATCAATAGATTTTTCATACTCTCCCAAGAATATATGAGCAATGCCCAAACCGCCATTCGCATCTGCTATCCCTGATTTATCGCCAATAATAGTACTTATTTCCAAACCTTTTTCGAGGTAATCAATAGCTTTGGCGAATTCTCTCAAATAACGGTAGGCGATGCCCAATTTGACATTGCTTGTTGCTATGCCTGACTTATCCCCTATAGCAGTACTCATTTCTAAACCTTTTTTGTAATAATAAATAGCTTTCTCATACTCTCCAAAACTAACGCAAATATCACCCAAATTGCCATTCCAAGATGCTATTCCTTCCTTATCACAAATATAGCGACTTAATTCCAAGCATTTTTCGCAATAATCAATGGTTTTCACATCGTCTCGTAATCCAAGGTAGGCATTTGCCAAGTCTTTACAAGTTTTTGCTATTCCTAGCTTATCACCAATAACAGTTCTCATTTCTAAACTAGTTTTCAAAGAGTCGATGGCTTTTTCAAAATCTCCAATTTTTAGGTAGGCAATGCCTAAATTGCTATTGTTAGAGGCAACTGCAGACGTCTGGCCAATATCAGCACTCATCTCTACACTTTTTTTGAAATAGTCAATAGCTTTCTCGTATTCTCCTAATATAAGGTAGGCATCACCCAAATTTTCATTGTTATTTGCTATTCCTGACTTATTATCAACAGCAGTACTCATTTCTAAACCCTTTTTGCAATAGTCAATAGCTTTCTCATACTCTCCTAAATTGAGATAGGCTTTACCTAACACTCCACTGTTTCTTGCTATTTCTAAATTATCACCAATAGCAGTACTCGTTTCTAAACCTTTTTTGCCATAGTCAATAGCCTTGGCATATTCTCCCAAACTATGGTAGGTTATGCCTAAATTGGCATTGTTATTTGCTGCTACTGACTTATCGCCAATAACAGTACTTATTTCTAAACCTTTTTTGAAATAGTCAATGGCTTTTTCATATTCTCCTAAACTATGGTAGGTCATGCCTAAATAGGTATTGTTAGTTGCTATTCCTGATTTATAACCAATAGCTGTACTCATTTCCAAACCTGTTTTGATATAGTCAATGGACTTCTCATACTCGCCTAAATTACGGTAGGCACTGCCCAAATTCCCATTGTTAGTCGCTATTCCCGACTTGTCGCCTATAGCAGTACTCATTTCTAAACCTTTTATACAATATTCAATGGCTTCCTCATATTTTCCTAAATAGATGTAGGCATTACCCAAATTGCCATTGTTAGCAGCAATTCCTGCACTGCATGAAAAGCGCCGTATTCCAAGGTATTCACATGTGAATACGGGTGTGAATAAAACACATATTGCAAGCGTATTCCGACATGGAATATTAGTGTGAATACGGCATCGTATTCTTCAGTATTCTAAGTGTGGATACGCCGTGAATATGCCGCGTATTCTGACCAATATTCACACTTGGAATATCTCACTTCTCACTTAATCCGTGTTTCCACAAAATAAATTCATCAGCTGACATTTTTAAACTTTATTTTGAATGCTGAAAAATTGAAGTGGAATTTTATAAATAATTTGGCGCAAAAACCAAAAAGCGCGCTTTCGAGTTTAATAAACATTGAACGAGGAGATCGTGCGTTTGTGGCTGTAAGAAATCTTTTTGGCGCTTATAAATAAGGGAAGAGAGTGAAGGATGCCAAGGGCTTGGTAAAGTCTGGAAACTCTGGTCGCAGTTAAAGAGCATGCCGGCGAGTATTTGTATGCTACGATTCCCACGAAGTCTGATGAAGAAAATGCGCGAAATAGAAATGAGATTGCATGACGCGATTTCCACAGCACCTTATGTTCGTTAATACGTGTAAAATGATAACGAATATTAACCGTATTTCAAGGATTTTTTATTGTTCAAAACCGAAAACGCATATACTGTTTGTGCGTAAGGGACCTCTTCGGTGAGTGACTAAATATCGTGCAGTTGAATTCAATAGCCGGCCTATAGACTATACCCTATGACCATGTTGGGAGTAATCTCAACATTTTATTAACAAATTAACTGGTGATAAGAGGTTAATGGGTTATGCGTTCGCAGCCTGTGCGAATGTTTAGGCATTTATTGTCCCTCAAGTCTGTCCATTAAGGAAAATATCAATATGAACAAACATGCATAATCTTTAGGTTGCCATGTTAATTTGCATAGCAGTCATACACATTGCAATGGTAGGTTTATCCACAGTTAATGTGTTTTATCAAGGTTGATCAAATGCAATACTAAGATTTCAGTCAATTATTTAAATTTTATACAGTCCTTAACAGATCATGTACATGTGATGGGTTACAACATTTCACATTTTATAAAATATTATTGGAACATCACAAATTGTTCAAAAATATGTAGCAAAAACACAGCCTATCATGAACTTCTACTAAGCTGTTATGATTTTCAATCTTTGTTAATTTATAAGCAATGTTGTTTTAGTATATATGAAACATTGCTCCTGGAGTATGTCAGAAATGATACTTAATAGTAAATTGTTGAGCAAAGCAAGTGATGTTTTTTCACTTGGTAAGATATTAAAAACTATAGGTGAGCAGATAATGAATCAGGAACTTCTTTCACTGGGTGAAAAATCCTCTTCATCTTTAGCAAAGTTAAGGCCAACTCTTTTAGGAATTTTCTCAATATTGCAACCCCTGATGGCTAAAAACAATTAAAACCACCTTAAAGCAATTATTGAACAAAATACATAGCAAACTTTTTAAGCTATAATAGATTATTATCCGAAGGTTAATGATAATGGTAAAAGCTGATGTTGCATGCCATTTGTTTTTATTGTTGTGCATAGAATTTATGCAGTGTAATGAAATTATAATATTCCTAGGAGAATGTATATGTACAATGTACAATGTACACACCATTCATATAATTTGGAAGCTACCGGTAATCAATTAGGGTAAAAATGGAAACAAATTCTTCCATGAACTTAAAGCTGTATATACACATAGCTACTCCTAGTATGCAAACATCGAGAAGCTGTAGTAAACTCATAGATCTACACTTTAATGGTATATTCTTTAAGTATTGTGATTATAATTTATGTACGGAAAAGTAATTGCAAACAAATCAGTAAACAGTCTCAGTTATAAATTATGATGAGGGCAATGTTAAAAGGCTTCACTTAAAAACACAGTCTAGCATGAACTTCTAAGCTGTTAAGATTTCTGTCTTTGGGCAGCTGGTTGTTAAGATTCCTATCTTTGGCAACCAGTTCAATAGCTACTCTGTGGTAAATATTAGTGTAAATATAATTCATATATGCTAAAAGGAAAAATATAGGCCATTATTTTGTTAAAAAATATGTATTATATATAACTAAAAACACAGTCTGGCTTTGATTTCTAAGCTGTTAAGACTTCTGTCTTTGGGCAGCTGATTGTTAAGATTTCAATCTTTTGGCAATCAATCATTAGCTATTCTGTGACAATTATATAACAATATATATCTATAATATATAAATTTTGCCTAAAATATAAAAACCCTCATGAAATGCACCAATGCACCTCATTTCAATGCATCTTGAAACGTCTATCTAAGGGTTATGTTATGTTAAAGTTATGATTACAGCAGCTTTCTGAATATTTGTGGTAGGTAAGAAAGTAATGTCCCTTTTCAGTATTGGCAAACTTTTAAATTTTGTTTGTATTGAGTATGGCTTTGAAATGGCAAACATTGTACCTACTATAATTAGTGTGTGATGGAGGTAGGATTGATGAAAACCATCATACAATTTATTTATTTACAAGCAGGTACAGTTAGCTGTGTACAAATTAGCTACAATAAACACAATCGTAATCTATTTATATTAATAAAACAAAAAAAGTGATGAGCCCAGCCGTAAAAGCGTTGGCCTCGCACTATTGTTGTTGTGTTGTGTTGTTTCAGGACTATAGTATGACATAACTCTTGTTATTATTAAATAACTTACCTGATTTTAGCGCCGCCACAAGAATTATTTTTGGGGCATCGCGAAACATCTTTAACAATTCAAAGTTGAACAGCTTGAACTTCTGTTGAAACCACGCATTTATATATAAGCGCCCTGGTTGAAACCAATTGACATTTGTGCCATGTTATCGTTTTGTAAACAAAGGGAACTGGACAACTTTTGCGAGGAATCATTTAAAGACATTTATTTGTTATTGTTATACGACCTCCGAATTTCGCCATTTATTCGCAATTTCACCGCAATTCCTTGGCGCAAAAATTGTCACTAACATGTCGAAGAGGAAATTTCCCAAAGGAAATTTCCTACGATTTCCCAACACTGAACTGTATATATTACGGATGCTTTTGACGATACAGAATCATCAACTTTCTACCCATGTGTTTACGTATCCAAGCAAAAATAAAAGTATTTTTTTATATATAACTTCTTTTACACAGGTAATTAAAGAAATTGATGGATATTTCTCTTTTTATACAGCTTTTTTACGACTTACGAGGCTACTCAGCGCTCATCGACTGAGGATATACGATACTCGACATCCCTGCGGCAGCAAAAAAATTAATCAAATAAAAATCATCGTGCGTTTGGTAACATTTATTGTCTTTATTGTCTTTCGCCTAAACAAATCAAGTGCAATTTCAATTTCTGACCGTGATGACTGATGAGAAGAAATGCTGGATAACAGCTAGTTGACACCGGCATTGAACTGAAACAACCTTTGCCTATTCCGTGGTATATAAACGCATTTCCTGCAATATTTACACAATATAACTCGTTGATTATCCCGTATTCATGCGTACAATCACATTTTCTATGCCGAAGTGTGAATACTAGGTCTTGAAAAATATTCACAGAGTATTCGAAGGTATTCTAGGTCAGAATACGCGGTGTTTTATCACAGGTATTCACATCGGAATACCCCCAATATTCCGAGGATATTCACAGTGAATATCTGTGAATACGTGTGAATATGGACCATATTCGAACTCATATTCGCACGTATTCACCTGTGAATACGCGGTTTTTCATGCAGTGTTAATTTACTTTATCCTTTTCAGAAGTTCATAATGAAAACGGTTATGGTAGGATTCGAACCATCGATTTAACTCTTGGGAGACCATTGTCTTCGCCACTAGACCACAAGGTCTTGTGCTGGATGGCATGGTTATTTAGTTACTTTACCTTTCACGAAGTTCATAATGAAAACGGTTATGGTAGGATTCGAACCATCGATTTACACTTGGGAGACCATTGTCTCGCCACTAGACGCAAGTCTTGTGCTGAATGGCCATGGTTATTTAATCTACTTTATCCTTTTCACGAAGTTCATAATGAAAAAGGTTATGGCAGGATTCGAACCATCGATTTAACACTTGGGAGAATCGTCTTCGCCACTAGACCACAAGGTCTTGTGCTGGATGACCTGTTATTTAGTCTACTTTATCCTTTCACGAAGTTCATAATAAAAATGGTTTTAGCAGGATTCGAAACATCGATTTAACACTTGGAGACATTGTCTTCCATAGACGCAAGGTCTTGTGCTGAACGGTATGGTTATTTAGTTACTTTATTCTTTCACGAAGTTCATAATGAAAAAGGTATGGCAGGATTCGAACCATCGATTTACACTTGGGAGACATTGTCTTCGCACTAGACTGCAAGTCTTGTGCTGAACGGTTGGTTATTTAATTTACTTTATCCTTTTCACGAAGTTCATAATGAAAAAGGTTATGGTAGGATTCGAACCATCGATTTACACTTGGGAGACCATCGTCTTCGCCACTAGACCGCAAAGGTCTTGTGCTGATGACATGGTTATTTAGTTTACTTTACCTTTTCGAAGTTCATAATGAAAAAGGTTTGGTAGGATTCGAACCATCGATTTACACTTAGACATTGTCTTAGCCACTAGACTGCAAGGTCTTGTGCTGAATGGTTATGGTTATTTAGTTTACTTTATCCTTTTACGAAGTTCATAATGAAAAGGTATGGTAGGATTCGAACCATCGATTTACACTTGGGAGACCAATTGTCTTGCCACTAGACCACAAGTCTTGTGCTGAATGGCTATGGTTATTTATCTACTTTATCTTTTCACGAAGTTCATAATGAAAAAGGTTATGGCAGGATTCGAACCATCGATTTACCACTTGGGAGACATTGTCTTCGCCACTAGACGCAAGTCTTGTGCTGAACGGCCATGGTTATTTAACTTACTTTATCCTTTTCACG